CGTCAAGAAAACGGAACAGGAATAAAAAATAATTAGAGAAAATTTCCTTTTATATTTAAGATTCTCTTTTAACATCATTTGATATTAGGCAGCTTTATGTTATTACCTGTCTAAGATTTAATGAAAAATAATTTGCTACCCCGTACACATTTATAATTGAAAATTCTCCCGGAATTTTCTCAAACAGTCCTTGGAATGGAATGAAGAAACACCTGAGGAACAGGGGGGAGCTGAATCACCTGCAGTTGCGACTGACGATATTGGTGCCCAAAGTTCTGAAAAGAAGGAAGATAATGCTGCGATCATTCCCGAAGAAAATGAGTGGGACAGACTTTTGCGTGAGAGGTTAAGATTTTCTTTTGTTAAATTTATCATAGTTTCTCTGCAGTTCTATATCTTCGTTAGCACTGTTGTGTGATATTTTGCTAATTCGCTCTAAATCTCATAATCTATGGGTTTGCAGCTGAGGAATAATTTCATCGAAAATTTACTTTCACCATGTTTGAGAAACATTATGTTAAAGATTTTTTCCATATTAGGAAGCTGAACCAGTTTTGTCTATCTTGGCTGAGCAAACTAAACTAAGTGACGGAAAATCATGTAATTTATTTTTCTTGGTAATAAGCCATAAATTGTGGTACTATAAGAATTTTTTGTTTAAATTATGACGGTTGATATTTGATGTTTGTATTGGATGAATAGAACTATCAGATAATATGCATTGGTGGGAGTTATGCTATAACAAGGTCAAATAAGCATTTGGGGTTATAAATTTATAATGCACCCTCGTAATATAGTATTAGAACCAAACACACACTGGACCTTAGTTATTCTTATATGATTCTCTGCGTAATGTAGATGGGAGAAATATCAAAGCGAGGAGGAAGCAGCACTTGGTCGAGGAAAGCGCCAGAGAAAAGCTGTTTCCTACAGGGAAGCATATGCGGCACACCCTAATGAAACATTGAGTGAGGTATTATTTATATGCTCTGCACATAAGCATGTCTACTTTCTGATGCTATAAATACATCTTATCTACTCATTTATATTGCTGACGAAGATGTGATGAGAGTGGTTCTTTGATGAAAACCAGGCCATACATGACTTTCACTGAATTATCTTCTTAGTTTTTCCTTTTCTCTTTGTCTTTACCATATTGTCTACTTGCATATTTGTCCGCATCCCCTTCCATAACTGAGAAAAATGTTTCAAACCTACCAAAATTTGTCTATTCCTTTCTATTAGTATTTATTTCAGGTCTGCAAATTCTTCTTTCCCTGATTCTCTCTCAGTCTCTCATCTCTCGCGCACACCCATGCTTAGGAAAGTTCAATCATTGATGACTTTGTTAGCCCTTAAGATTGAATGAATTTATGTCTTTTGCAGACTTCTGGTTCACATATTTGTACTGTTATTTTAATGTTTTTTGAAAAACTATTTTGTCATGTGCTGTTATTTTAATGTTAGCCCTTGAAAAACTTGGTAGCATGTGCTTTAATCCTCGGATACCTCTAATGATGCAATTTATTTATGTCAAAGCTGAAACTCCTAATACCTTTTACTTGATAGCATAACCCTGGATAATCTTGTAAGCTCTCTCAGAAGCATATGTTCGTTAATTGTATTATAACTAGTTTAAATCTATTTATTCTTTTGCTCTTTTTTGAAGTTGGTTTCAATCATTAATTTGTCTAAGCAGAGTGGTGGTGAAGAGGAAAAAGAACCCGAGCCAGAGCCCGAACGGGAATATACACCGGCAGGTCGAGCTCTGAAAGCAAAGTAGTAAGTGAAGTTATTTTCAAGTTTTCAAGTGATCAAGATGTCAACATATGATAACTTTGAAGCTGTTAACTGCTATCATTACTTCTGATGTATAATTAAAAAAGGAAATAGGTGAAGCAGGTGATAAAATTGTTGAATGAACTTCATGGGCTAAACAATTGGAACTCAGCTTAAAAGTTAAAAGTTGTGCTCTAATTATCAAACTCTTAGAACAATTGGTAGGTTTTAGATTTTACTAAGTAATTGCTTATTTAGGGTATTTGGATATCTATGCACAGACTATAGGCTCTTGAATATTTACACAAAAAAAGATCAAGGTGATGATTTACTGAATAGTTGCTGTAAATGTTTTGACATTAAGGTTTTTGTTAACTATTTTCAAATTGTTATTCAACAGTTCTAAGCTCCGTGCCAGACAAAAAGAACGGCTAGCACGGAGGAATACAGTTGAAGAATTGCGTCATCTTGAGGCAACACCTGGACCTGAGTTACCTCCACATTTTGCTGCTAATGAGAAAGATGGGCATCGAGTGACTGAATTGGTTCAAGAAGTCAGAGAAAAGTCTTCAGCAATTGGTTTAGAGGATGAGAAAGTCACTTGGCCCTCAGAGGCACCAAAGAGTAAGGGCGACTTAGCTCTAAGGCTGGGTAGGCTTTCAAAACACAAAATGGGCAGTCATTTGGATATTTCTGTCAATTCTCTTGCTCAGCCCTCTCCTGACAATATCCCTCCAAGTCACCATTATCAGGGCACAGGCTATACAAGCACACTTCCTCCCAACAATTTGTTACCGGTTCTGGGGTTATGTGCTCCCAATGCTAGTCAAATAGAATCACATAGAAACTTTTCAAGGTCACATGGTAGACATAGCAAGTCAGCTACTGGACCAGAATTTCCATTTAGTCTAGCTCCTAATTCTGGAACTTCAATTGAGACAGAAGTAAAAGGTCGGGAGGGTACTCCAGACAAAACAAAGTTGCATGATGTGTCAGCTGAAGCTTTACAACATCGTATTAGAGGTAGCATGCCAGATAATCGACTCCCATTTATTCCGGTAACCTCCTTCTCTATAGAATTTTGAATGCTGTTCTCTTATAAAAATATGCTACTCCGTTTATGCATATTTTTGCTTTCTTTTTCTGTGCAGTATCCTCTGCCTTCCTCACATGGAAAAATTTCTGACCGTCTAGAAAGTGCTGCTGCTGCTGCATTTGCTGAATTTCAGGAGAAGTATATGTTACCAAATTTACCTTTTGATGAGAAATTGCCACCTAGATTTCCTTTTCCTGCGACCAGCACAGGAGCTCCACATCATGACTTGTTACCTAGCTTGTCACTGGGGAGCAGACTTGAAGCTGTAAATGACTGCATAAAAGACCTTCCAGCAATGCCTCTCTTGCCAAATTTGAAATTCCTCCCACAAGATGCACCCAGATATAATCAGCAAGAGAGGGAAGTTCATCCCACATTGGGTTTAGGTCAGACACCATCCACATTTTCTTCAATTCCTGAAAATCACCGGAGAGTGCTTGAAAACATAATGATGAGGACTGGGCCTGCTTCCAACATGTATAGAAAGAAACTAAAAGTAGATAGCTGGTCTGAAGATGAACTCGATTTTCTCTGGATTGGAGTTCGCAGACATGGTCGGGGCAATTGGACTGCTATGCTTAGAGACCCCAGAATGAAATTCTCCAAGCATAAAACTCCGGAAGATTTGGCAGCTAGGTGGGAGGAGGAACAGCTTAAGATATTGGACGGTCCCGCTTTTCCAGTGCAAAAAACTACCAAGCCAAGTAAATCTACCAAATCTTCCTTGTTTCCAAGCATTCCTGATGGAATGATGTCACGGGCACTGCAAGGAAGTAAATTTGTCTTGCCGCCAAAATTTCAAGCACACTTAACGGACATGAAATTGGGCTTTTCTGATCTCACCGCTGGCCTGCCAGGTTTTGATCCATCAGAACAAGTTAGTTTGCAAAATGAGCATTTTCCACCCATTCCAACTTGGAATCCTGAAAAATTTCGGGGAAATTTTGTTGGAGATTCTTGTGCTGGACCCTCTGGTAGACCTGGGACTTCTTCAAGTGTACCATTGGAGAAGCCCTTTATGCTCAATTCTTTGGGAGTGAGCAATTTGGGTTCACTGGGTATGAACTCTGGTGGCTCTGATTTACTGAGAAGGGGGGATGAAGACATTTCAGCGAGAAGTGGGAAGTTGCGCAGTCTTCTGGACAGATCTTTTAATATGTTGCGTGACTCCAACAATAATGTGGGAAGTGGTGAATCCACCAGTTCAGGACTTCTCCCTGAACCAAACAAAGGGCTTAACAATTCTCATTCAAAGGGGAAAGAAGTAGTTGGAAGTAGTTCTTCAAAGAACAAACTACCTCATTGGCTTCGGGAAGCTGTAGGTGCCCCTGCTAAACCGCCAGATCCTGAACTGCCGCCTACTGTTTCAGCAATTGCTCAATCAGTTCGCTTACTATATGGGGAAGATAAACCAACCATTCCTCCATTTGAGATACCGGCACCACCTCCTCCCCAACCAAAGGATCCAAGACGTAGTCTAAAAAAGAAGAAGAAGCGGAAGTCGCATATGCATTGGGACAGTGCTGGGAGCAGCCAGATGTTTCAAAGTGGCCTCCCTAATAACAATGCTGCTTCAAGTTCTATTCTTCCGGTTCCACCATTTCAAATGCCCCCGCAACATATTACTGGAACTCCAGGGCTTCCTTCAGCAGAATCTGACCTTAATTTGCATCCTCTCAATTTAAATATGATGAACCCACCGTCTTCTTCGGCATACCTAATCCCCCCAAAGAAAACGAGCTCAGGACTGTCCCCCTCTCCAGAAGTGCTTCAACTGGTAGCATCTTGTGTTGCTCCCGGCCCACATTTGCCATCAGTTTCGGGCATGTCAAGCTCAAGCTTCCTTGAGAGCAAGTTCCCATTGTCGAAATCTTCAGACCAAGTAGACCTACCAGACCGACAAGGTTCACCTGAAACAATGAAAGCTGAACAGAACTCACCCATTAACGATGATCGGCTTCAACCGGAACAACAAGAACAGCAAGATAGTGGTGAATCCAGCAAGACGCAATCAGACCCTTGTCGAACTGAACAGCCTGATGTCGAGGAAATATCCTCTGAGGGAACTCTGTCAGATCATCCTGTGAGTGACGATGAACCCTAGCCCTTCATACATGAGTGAAAAAATAGGACAGTACTATTCTTTCATCCTGCTACTGGAGTTTCCAGGCTTTTCAATGATCTGCGCGAATTTTTGTAGCCATGGTGCAGAGTGATGAATTAGGACATATAGGATCATTTAGGACTCTTCTCGTGTAAAGTTTCTGTAACAGAAAAATGAAATATATAGTGTTGCCTGGTTGATATTTGCTTCTATCATTTTACAGCTTCTTCATGGCTTTATGCACAGGTTTAAACAATTTTTGGTGGCTGCTAATGGCCAGTTAGTCATTACTATCGAGAACAAAACGGTTGCATGTACAGTAAAAGGGTAATTTGATAATATTTATTAAATCATAATACATTAGCATAAATTTTAACGTTTTATAGTAAAATGGTAATATTTAATAAATCATAATTATGGGTGCATTTAGTTTATTATTATGATACTTTTTAGAATAATATTTTTAAAAAAAGTAAAATTGAATGGTTATTACGATGTAGGATTTGAAAACTAACAAAAATACCTTCTAAATTTGTTTATTTACTAAACACTTCTATAATAAAATATTAAAAATTAACAAAAAACACTCACCCACCCATTAAATACCGACAACCGGCTACCATCGTTGGAGGGTGATCGGAGTCGCCGTATCGGTGCACGACTGGCTGGATCTGGTTGGTTGTGCGTCGATATGGCTTTTTCCAATTAGATCCACGGTGGATTTGGTCAGAAAATGCTAAATCTACTGCTAGATCTGGCCATTGATGGTCAGATCCAGCTACATTTGGTCGTCAATAACGGCCAAAGAAATGGCCGTCGTTGACGACTGGCTACGGCCAAAGATCTGGCCGTCAACAGCCAAATCTTTGACCGTAGATCTGGTCTTTTTCGGCCAGATCCACTGTGGATCTGGCCAGAAAAGACTAGATCGGCGCACTACCGGTCAGATCCAGCTGATAGTACGCCATTATACCAGATTCTGGTTAGCTTCCAGGGGTGGTGGTCGGACTCTGACAAATGTGGGTTGCTAGAGAGTTTTTGTCAACTTTTAAAAAAAAAATTGGGGGTGTTTAGTTAAATTAACAAATCTAGGGGGTTTAAAAAAATTGAATACAAATCGAGAGGTTTTAAAAAGAATTAAATAATATAGAATAATATTTTGAGAATAAGAAATAAATGTGTATTTTGGATAGAATAAGGAATAGAATAGTGAAAAATTGTGTACCAAAGGGGCCCAATTTTAACAGTTTATGGTAAAAAGGTAATTTGATAATATTTATTAAATGATAACAACATAAATTTTAAAGGTTTATTAACCACACATTAATGGAAGAAGAATTTTTGTTATTTTGAAAACTATTGGGGAATTAATGTCATTACTTCTTCTCCTTATATAAATTGGTAAATATAAAATTAGAAATTCTTCTTTATTTATTTTACCAATCAATCGATGACTTCTTGTAAATAGGTTAATAGGTTCATTGCTCAGACTCAAAATATGATTAATCCGATATGGGTTACATGAAACCCGTTACGGTTCAAAAATTGGTACTATTGGTCGGGTGAAATTTTTTTGTGGGTTTGGAGCTGTGGTCGGTATGATCCGAAATGATATATACGTACAACTCCATGAATTTATTTTTTTTCTTTTTGAGTAAACAATTTATATTTTTCATGCAATTAAATATAAAGTTGTCTGCCATAATATAATTAATTATTTGAATTAAATATATATATTAATATTATTTTATTCGCTCGAAAATTGGTATAAGCTCATTTGCACATGCGATCCAGCATTTCTCTCTCTCTTTACACACACAATTAATTAATTAATTAAACTTGATTAATTAATTAATTAATTAATTATATTGTACTTTTAATCTCTATTCAATGAATATAATATATTCATTTTCAACTTCCCTTCACTAACAAACAAGATTAATTTCATCAACCATCTTTCAAACCCTCTTTTTTCTTTTTAATTTTAATATATTAAGAATTAAATAATAAATTTGTAATATATAACCATATGTCCATATTCATAATATAACCTCGATAAAAATTATAATAAAAAAAATTAAATAAATTCCAGTATATTTAATTTCTCAAGTAACCAAAACAAAGAAGATGGATCATTCCAACCTTCCACCAAAATTTATATACCTTACAAAAAGTATAAGAAAAAAAAAAAGGTCGTGATTACATAAAACGTTGGTTTTAATGTTATAAGTTTCACGTTGGACGTCGATATCAGTCTCGATATTGTAACCAAAAACCCTAAAAAATGGTGGTTAGGACTGCGAGGTTGGAGAGGAAGAGGGCTTTGAGGTGGCGACGAACCTTGAAGAGAAAGCGTAGAATTTGTAGTAATAATCTTCGTCGTCAACGAGGCTACCGGAGCCGGTGGTATCAAAGTTGAGAGAATAGCTCAAAGGGTCGTAGTGGCATTGGAATGAAGAGGAAGGTGGTCTGGTTCTGGAGGTGGAGAGGTTTGAATGGTGCAGCATTTTGGCGCCATGTTTCTTGAGCTTTTTGACGAGTTTAGAGAGGGTTTTCTTGCTCATGCAGCAGCAGTTTGAGTCCTTTTGTGAGGCAGCGGAGGTGGCGACGGAGGTGTTAGTGGAGGTGGTGCTTGTGGTGGCGGTGGTTTTTGGCCACCAGAGAAGCCACATTTCAACCATCATCTTCAGACTCTTCACTCTCTCTCTCTCTCTCTCTCTCTCTCTCTCTCTCTCTCTCTCTCTCTCTCTCTCTCTCTCTCTCTCAGTGGGTTGAGTTGAAAAGTTGGTAGTTTGTGAGAGTGTGGAAAGGTGAATGAAAGGTTCATTTATAGAGATTTGAGTGCGTGATTTGCACGGCTGAGGGAGAGCGTGGAGCTTGTTTTATTGGTTTCGTTACGAGAAAACCGAAAGTAAGGCAGGTTGTAAATAAAAACAACCACGGGTGGTAGCCGACGGTAAAAATAAAAAAAAGTTTTACGAACTTTAAGTTTGAGTATTCTATATATTATTATAAGGGTGGTTATTATGACTTTTATCAGATCAACAATTCAGAATTTAAAAGATTATTTAAAGTACGCATAAATTGATTCAAACATTCTCGATGATAAAAAAATGAAAAAAGATTATATATAAAAAATTTGTAAACTTATAACGTAACAATTATAAAATATATTTATACATTATTATACAATAAAAAAAGTCGGAAATCATATCATCCATACCTCTATCTAATGATATACTGTTATATGTGTATATATTTTTATTTCTGTCTAATTACTATTATTATTTGTTGATATTTACATAGATCATTAACAAATAAATACTTCTTAGGTTAGTTTATAAGTTCTACGTACTATTAACTAATAAGACACGTTCAGGTATATAACACTTTCGTAAAGTCTAAAAGCAAATATCTAAGATAAACGATGTTTACCTAAAGCTCGCGATATATGATTCATGTTCAATTGAGTTCAAACAAACATCGAAGGAGTAAGACATCATTTGATTAAATATAAAAAAAAAATTATTAATAGCAATTTATCCTGATCTAAAGATTTGAATATAGATTATTTTATAAATTTTAAAACCGTTGTCAAATACTTTTTCATAAATAATTTTATTAACAATACTCACCACCATTTTATCCTAAAAATACTCAGAAAAGCACTTTTTATTGTAGAAGCACTTCTAACGACAAATTTATTGATTAATTAATGAGATTTAATTCGGTGCCTAATGATAACCATCAATGGATTAATCAGATGTCATAGCTGACATTTTCTGAATGGGCAAGGGTACGATCGTCAATTCGACAAGAAATGATGCAAGGCAGTGAATACATCTTCTTACCTAATGTATTTCAGGCCAGCTGTACGGTGATCAGAAATAAAACAGAGAAGATTGATCACATGGGTCCCAATTATATATCATCTTAAACTATGGTGATTTGTTAGCTGTATAAATCAATCATAGGGCGATCCAACATGCCACGTGGCTTGTCATATATGTAAAGTGGGCCCACACTTGTGTTTTATGGATTTTATTCAATATTATTGGATCAATAATGTTATAAAATCGATAAAAATGTCCAAACCAACTTACGCTCACCTCAACTAATCTTCGATATCCCTTACTCAAATCGTAGATTTTAAATGGAGAATCGAATTTATGATTGTGCGTCTATCTACATTATCCTCAATTCACTCTAAGTATCCAGACTACTCATGAATGAGTTTCATCTCTAATTACCATATATATATTCAATTATTTTGAAGGAAAGTATATTCAAGTCATATTCTTCTCAATTTAGGGTTCATTTATATACGCTCAACCTGAATCAACCCTTTGTCCTTTCCAATGTGATTAAGAGATTCAAGCTTATAGAAGTAGTGACACAAATTCTAACATTTTGTTTTTTTGATGATCGGGGGTATTCGGATCAGTTTACGTGTACTTCAACTATTCTTCAAAGACCTTGTAATAAGAACTATCAGTTAGATAAGAGCTTCAATAGTTATCTTTATTAGCACCTGAAGAATGACTCGAATTCAAGATCTTTTGAGTAATACACCTAAAAGTCTTATCAAACCGCTTGACCACCCAGAAGATGTTATCTATATATCTATCTAATAAAATCTGGTTAAACTAAACCGTAATTCAAAATCATAGTCCAATGTGAGGAAGAGAGTCTCCAAGTCAATGGGGTTGGATCTCAATGGGTAAAAGAAGAGTGGACACAGAGAAATCACATGGGTGCTCAGAATTAAGTCAGAACAAAATATAAGTAAAAAGGGAGAAAGAGGAAGAAGATGAAGAAGAAGAAGCTGCAGCACATGGGCATAGTTTGAAATGGAGGAAAGAGACATTCACTTGGAGACATGAAATGAAGGTAAAAACATTAAAGCTATAAACAAGAAAACATTTATTCTTTTATTTTTTAAAGTCTGCAAATAAATCTCTGAAAAAGTCTGCCATTTTCATAAGCCTTCAGCCTTCTTGTGAGCTGTGATGGGTGACTGATATCCACTCCTCCCTCAAATAATTTAACTGTCCTCTCTCTATATCTATATGGGATCTTATTTTATGCTTCAGAAAAACGAATCAAACCTACTCTTGGCCTTACTCAAATCATAATCCCACTCATTTCTCCTACTTCTTTTTGTCATTATACCTTCACATAAACCTAACTTGAAAAGGAATTTCTAAATAGATAAATTAATTAGTTTTGTAAACATTAAAAGATAAATTTTAATAAAAAGAGAAAATTGCATTGATTAACTATAAAATTTTGGTTTTTAATATAAGAGCAATACTATATTTATAACTCAATCTCACAAATTTTCTCACACAATCTTAACGTGACAGCTCGTAATTGATCATAAAAAACATTTCTCTTAGAGTAGTTGTTAATACAAATAGCGGAAAATATGTTATAGCCATTTATGTACATTCAATGTACTCCACAAATAGAGGAATACATAGAGTTGAACCTGTCTCTTATACACATTCTATGTGTATAAGAGACAGCTGTTATAGCCATTTATGTACATTCAATGTACTCCACAAATAGAGGAATACAAAAAGTTGAACATAGTAAAATAAGAAATTGAAAGATTTTTGAAATTGTTCGTTTGGAAATTTTCCGAAAAGCTAATCATAGGTTCTTCTCTGCATCGGAACAATAGGGCTGTTATGCTTATTACTAAACTTGTTGAAGAGATGAAATAGAACCAAGGTATATCATTCAAGGCATAGAATCAGACATTGACTGGAGCTGTCCAACTCGTAATGGGTTTTGCTTGTTCAATTATGAGCTGTCACGTCGAGGTTGTGAAAGAAAGTTTATAAGATTGGGTTATGGACCAATCATTATTGTTAATATAAATTGAAAATAGTAAAAAACATATATAAACATCTTCATTAGCGAACTTTCGTCAATTCTAAAAAAGATTGACATAAAGCGGAGATACTAAAATACATATATAAACATCTTCATTAGAGAACTTTCATCAATGACTGACATAAACCGGAGATAAAGAAAAAAAAAAACATATATAAACATTTTCATAAGAGAACTTTCGTCAATTCTAAATAAGATTGGGTATGATAAATGGGCAGAGCTCAAGGAAGGATCACATAGTGTGAGACAATTGTAACTTTAACTTGATAAACGGGTTTAAGTATAATTTATTTTCAAAAACTAATTCAAAGAAAAAGGAAATCTAACTACATATATACACTAAAGTGAGGGAAATAAAACTTTTAAAAATAAAATTTTAACCTATATATCTTATTGGATACTCAAATATGAGGTAGAATTTGAATTGAAAGTAGAAGACAAAAAATGCTTTAAAATCAAATGTACTTTTAATGACAAAATATTAATCAAGCACATTAGCCAAGAACGGCATAGTTGTCTTTGGATTTATTATATTTATATTATAAAGTATTTATAATATATGCTTTAATTATTATTTTGTGTCTCAAAATAGATTGCTTGTAAAGAGGATTTTGGCTCTACTTTTAGCTAGTCAAACTCGAACATATCTACCAACAAATTTCCCATTCTGTGTCTCCACCTAATCCAGGATTCCTTTTGCCCTTTTCAAAAAGCCTTTCTCAAAATCCCTCAATTATTCAGGAAAAATATCTTCGACAACGAATATAATATATATAATCAGCTAAAGACGACGTATGAAACTTTTAAGTGAGATTTTCTCTCTAGTATTAAGTTACTTCGACTACATTATCCAGTCAATATCATATAGCAAATGCTCTAAAATGAATAAAAAGATGTAAACATATTAAAACTTTGGTGTGTCGTTAAGTTAACGACTAATTGTTAGCTTTTAGTTCATACATGTATTTAAGGTACGTTTGATTCAGAGAATATTATATTGTTAAAAATGTTATATTAATGGAGAGATACATTGAAGATTATTGTGAATGTTTAAAGAAATATGTTTGGTTAGGTTAAAATAAATTAGTGGGTATGTTATATAGATTACTAAATTACCCTCATTTTTAGATATTAATGTTATATTATTTTTTGAATAATTTCTTTTAACCCCTTACATTTGAGATTTTGTTAAAACACCACAACCACATAAAAGTTTAATTTCTAATAAAATCACCCCTACTCACCCCAAGCCACTGCCTACTACTGGTCGCCAGCAACCATCGTCAGCCATGATGGTAGTGATCAGAACGGAGCATGACCGACTGGATCTGGTTAAAAACAGTCAGATGACCGTATATTTGGTCGGAAACAACCAGACCTACGACCATCCGACGTTTATGGCCACTGATCTAGCTGAAAATGGCCACATCGGCTCATGACCAACCAGATCTGATTGGTCGTGCGCCTTTTTGGCGATGTGAGCCAGCAGTGGTAGTTGGCGGATGACGATGGTCCTAGGTGGCTTGCAATTTGTTTTAAATACAAGGGCATTACTATCCAAAAAAGTTAATTAATTAGGGGTAAAACTGTAATGGTTGGTTCATGTAATTTAATTTCTAAAAAAGGGCATTATTGTCTTGAAATTAGGGTAAAATTGTAACAAAATAAGATTTCCAAGTAATTTCAAAATACCTAAAAAAATGATGGTATTCAAATTATCTCTTACATAACCAAGAGTAATTAATATTGATTTTGGAAGACTACCGAAATCTTATATTACTTG